TATCCTTCCGGTGTGATGGTGAATTGTTGGTAACTGTGCTCTAAATACTCTCTTCCAGAAGCTACCAGCTTCTACTACAACTTCATGTAAACCAAATGTCTCTAACTTATTTACTAGAATACCATGAGACCAGGGAGTTTACCTGTTGCCCATAGGTAAAACTACTGTGGCTCTGAGACTGATTAATCTGAGGCTGGTGCAATCAGTTCCCTAAGTACTGTTTATAAGGAAATTTCTTTTGAAAACCGTGAACTTATTTAAGGAAAGCAGGATATTGTGGGATGTAGACCTGGCCCTTGTGGCTTATACTGTTTGATTTATTAATTAGGTTATTGCACCCATAGCTGGATTTGTATGTGTAACAAAGATTTATGTTGCTGTGGCAACAGAGACAGACACAACTGTGCTGAATTTCCTAGATCTTTGAAGTAGGAGTTCTCCTAATCCAAAATGGGATTGAGAATTCCCACCAGCACGTGAAGAGTGTAACTAAAAAGGGCCCTCATTAATAGACTGAAAACTTGCATATCTGACTTTCAAGCCAAGTTGAATAAACTCCTGCTGCTCATCAGAGGGTTAGAGAAAATATGCAGTCGCAAGAGAGGAGACAAAAAGAAAGCTTATGGCTCAAATTAATCAAGAGCAATTGATTTTAAGACAAATAGGAGTGATGACTACTGTGAAAATCACAGGGTGCTTCAAGAGGTCATTGAACAAAAAGCTTGGAGCATGTTCCAGGTATTGTAACTGGCCTGAAAATAGAGGGAAGGAGGAACTGAACATAAGCCAGGTGAAGACTTCACAGTGTTGTATATCAAATGAAAATAGCGGTGGTGATGTAGCACACGCTAAGGGAGACAGAAGAAATCTTTGATAGGTGGAAGGGGGTAACTTGTGGTAGATGAGGAGGGCTGCAAGGGATTCAGAAGAACTGCAGGAAGGTGTGGAAAGCTTTAGGTAGGCTGTCGTAGGAGCAGAGTTTTTGGACTGAACACTAATTCCTGCCCTTCGATGTCAGGGCTCCCTTTGCATCTGGGAGCCAGCAACTGTTTTGTCTGCTTGAGGATAAGGTATTTAATACAGTCAGTCAAAATCAGAATTCAGACAATTTCAAAAACAAACAAACAAAGAAGTCAAAAAAAGCCCCCAAAAATAATTCTAATTTTTTTTTAATGTTGGAAATTGGGTTTATTAATTTTTGGCTGTTCTTATTTCAAGGTCATGCGGTTAAATGTATTTATGATTTCAGCAGCGATAGAAAATGTCCAAGCACTATGATTCTCCTTAAAGCAGTATCATTGAAAAATTAATTATCTAAAAGGTTCCAAAATGATAATGGAAACGGAAGAAACTAGGTTACCTTGGAGTCAGGGAATTTTTAGTGAGATATGTAGCTATAAAAACATATGATATCCTATGTTTGTACAATTCCTTTTACCTCTGGAAAGCTGTAATATTTTAGTTTCTTTTTAATTTTGCTTTAGAAAAAAGGGTCAAAACAAAGAAGGAAAACAACAATGTAGGAAAGTGTCAATGGTTTCAAACAGTTTTGTTCCTATACCACAATTACATGTGGTGGACTGGTGATCCATTTCCTGACAGTTCTGCAGAAACTACACAACTTTCATCCAGTTTTCTCACTTCATAGATCAGCTGCAACGAGGGCTTGTTGCAGTCTCAGGGTAGAAACCTAGATGACCAGGAAGCACTGAAATGGAAGGGAGTCCTTCTCTTCATTTTATATCCAAACTGCTTGTTTGCAGGAGGCTGACATCTGTTAAGCTGCACACAAGTTTTGTGGACTTGCCAAGGCTTGCTGCAGAGTGACTGAGCAGCTGGGTGCCAATTTGCTGCACACTCCCTACTCTGCTCCTAGTCTCTGCAGGAGCTCTTTGAGAGGAACATAAGCACACAAAAAAGAACTGAGCATGAGGAAAGTGTGTCCATAATAAACATCTTCTGCTCTTCTCCTTGCTTATTGGAGCTCTTATCGGGCAGCTTCCAGGTAACTTAAATGAGGACTGGAGCAGATGCTGAAGCAGCGGGACATCTTGGATTTTCATTTCCTCCTTTGCAAAACACACTTTGCAATTATCCTGGAAGTTACAATCCAGAAGTCTGATGAACTGAATGTTTTCTACAAGTCATGTGCAACAGAGACACTGTATGGTACTTTCAAAGCAAAGAATATGTAATGGTTATATTTGTTTATAAAGAGAAATTGAGGTATTGAGTTTGGCTTGTAAAGTTACATAGTTCTAAGTGTCTGTTGATATTCTAAGTGCTGTGTTTTCAGTGACGTTAGACTTGAGTGAAACTGGTACAGCTGCAGGTCTGGTCAGATTCCACAGGTCTCTTGCCTTTTGTAAACACTGAAATGAAAAGGTTTGTTGCTAGGATGTTTCCCTGCTGTGCTGCAAAGTAACACCTGATGGTGTTACGGATCTTGACTGGAAAGTCAAATTGACAAGTCTAATTTCATCATGTGTCTTAATCTACAAAATAGAAACGATCAGCTGGAATGAAAGTTTTAATGAAATTTAAATGAGAGAATTTGTATTTTAGTAAACTACTGTTGTTCTAAGATTATAACCAAACGAATATCTTGACAATGTTTATTAAGTGTTTCTAAAAACAGTAACCTCTAATGCAGTGTCGTGATACACGAAAGTCTCCAGCATGTTCTGTATAGCAGAAGACTCAGTACCAGTTTCAGTGAATGAGAAAGTTAAAGGAAAAACTTGATGGTCTTGGGCTTCAGTAGGAAACTAAGCCAAATTTCAGCCTAAGTTGGAACTCAATAATGACATTTTAGGGAAGTATAATATAACATTGTATCAATGGGAAAATTCTTACCATCTTCTATGTCGAGTCCAAGTTGGCTTTTGCGTTTATTTAAAATATTCAAATTAGCTGAAGACAGCAGACAGCTACCTCTGTAATTGGTATAAACTGAAATTTCTGTAGCGTTCTCTTTTTCTTTCAAGAACTGCAAAGATTGAACAAAGAGCTTCAGGTGGAAGGATAAAAACACTTGGAAACACTGAACCATGTAGTAACCAAACATGAAATATAAACTAAAGCAAGGAGCTTATCAGTTGACAAAGCAAAAGAAATGATTGTTAGTCTTTGGAATTTGCACTTATAAATAGAGGCTTTCTAGGCAGTTGAATAACTAAATAGAGTATGTTTTGAGGCAGAGAAGAAAGATAGCTGCAGACATGAAACACAATTTGTTTTATTTAAGGATCAAATAAGAAACAAACCATGGGCTTTTGGCTCACAGGAATCATTGCTTGAAATTATTGCAACTAAACCCATCCTATTTCTGACAACAGAACATGAAATGGTATTCTGAGAAAAGTTCTGATTGAATAACTTCTGGCATATGTAGTATCATTTCAGGTCTGTGTTTCAATACTGTCTACTTCTGTTGTTCAGTCTGTTATAGTTTTCCATTCTTCAGGATGACACTGAAAATGTGCCTCCTAGGAATTTACTATACTGCTAGTGAATTTTATATATATATATTCAGCTAGTAAAAGGTGAAGTAATGCATCATTAAAGAAAATTGTGGATCATGTAAGAAAAAAAGAAAGTAAGGACTGTGAAAACATTGAACATAAATGTTTTGAACAGAAATATTCATAGATGCTATAGTCAGAGTAGATTGTGACAGTTGTAACAATTTGGCCCAACCTCTTACAGAGCAGAGTATATAAAACCAGTGAAATGGATCAAGTCTTACATGCTGTTCTTGTAAGCACTCACACACACTTAACTTGAAGTACATTAAGTTTTTCAGTCACTTGTATTAACTCCCATTTTATAAATTGAAAAGACTGTGGTTGTGAGACAGGTATTTTGGAGAGTTCACATGAGTTGTTACTATACATAATATTTTAAATCTTTTCTCATAATAACTTATTGCAACAGTAAAAATGACAGAAAGAAACATTTCTTATTATGATTGAAAGAAATAAAAATCCAAAATTCCAACTATTATTTCAAAATCAAGGAAAGCAAAAGAAGAACTTGTGTGTTTCAGTCTGTGCTTCTGACATTTTAAAATGCAGACAAAGGAGTCACTTTTATAATTTCATCTTGGTATGTATTGCTTAGTTTCTTGGTAGAGTTTGCAAACAGGCTTTAATCTCTGCTGAGTACTTGGACAATTAAATAAATTCTGGTTTAATAATGGGAAGGAATATTTCCTGAATAAAGAGGCAGTTTGAATTAGTTTGAAAAACTCCTTAACACTTTGAATCAGCCTCCACCAGATGTTAAAGCCTGACCTGGTTGGTGCTTGGATGAAGGGAAATCTTAAGGAAGACCTAAGATTCTGTATAAAGGGATTCAGTGTCTGCATCCACTCTGTGTGAGTCATATTAAAAGTCAAAGAAGATAACACTTTTCAAAGGAATCACTAAACTAAAATACTTCCCTAAGAAATGAAGTGGAGTGGGAGCAGGTAAATAATGGGTTTGTTGCTGAAAAATTTCAACCAACTCATCACTTCTAGAGGGTACATAAACCACAAAAAATTTGTGTGTGATTTAGGGGCTTTGTTTTCAAGGTCCAGTCTATATTTCACATAACATACTAATAGTTTGCCTACTTACTCACCTTAGCTACACCTGGAAAGTCTGTTCTTAATGTCCTGTTTTCAATCATTCTGCACTTCTGCTGAATACAGGCTCGGTTTTTCACCAGATAAGCTTTTACTACATTGGTGAACTTAGATATGTACATATTATTGGATAGGGACATGCAGTTATATAATTCTCCTCAGGTGAGATGATATGTTCCATTTTTTTCTTGACTTTCATGAAATAAAATCAGATCTTTTGAGTAAAGACAATTTTATAAGTGTGATGGCTGGGGTTTTAGGAATGTAAACTTAACAAGGTCCTGAATTATGCATGCCTATTGAATGTAAAGTCTACGCTACAACTGTTTGCATTTTGTTGTACATAATCATTCTTCATTATGTTTTCAGGATGGAACATGAAGCTACCCAACTAGAAAAGCAGCACGTGCATAGCGTGTATGAAAATACAGCCGCCTACTTTAATGATCTGCAGAGCAAAGCATGGCCCCGTGTCCGAAACTTTCTGCTGGAGCAGAAGCCTGGCAGTCTTGTTGCTGATATAGGTAAACCATTCTTTAAGGTGGCGTGAAAGAGTCTTTATAAGCTTTATCAGTTTATATGTTTACCATATGTATCCTTCAGAGCAACTGTTTATAAAGTGCGTTTACATTTGTTTTAAAGATTGTTTTAAAATTGTTTATAAACCCATAATAAATACCATATACCGCTTGTTTTATTTCTTTGACAGTGTACCAGGTAGCCAGTAAATACATTTTCTGCCTTATTTTTGTTGAGCTAAGCTTTAATCTATCAGTTTCCCCACAGGCTTAGTGGTCTGTCATTCCCCTGGAGCCCTTTTTAAAAAACTGTTAATAGCTCAATTATGTCATATTTCAGTTCCTTTAGATCTCTTGGTTTAAGTACTGCTGGTCTGTAATTTATTGCTTTTCATGTGCTCTAAAACTCTTCTTCTCAAGGCTTTATCTTAAGAGAAATCTTCTGATGCTATTGCTATTTAAAAAAAAAAGTTATGATCTGAGAATCTTCCTATGACCCTGAATACAGAAAGCAAAAACCTCACTTTCCTG